GCCATGGACGGGGTGTCCGCGCCCAAGCGCCAGGGCCGCACCCTCTACGGCTTCGGCGGCTGAGGTGCTGCCTCCTTTAGCCCCTCCATTTAGAACCAAAAGGCCCTTTTTAGGGCCACCCATGTTTTCACTGTAAAGAGTTATTCACTGAAGTTTATATATAATGTTAATATTAACAAGAGGTGCGTTCCGTTTTTGTGTAAATGCCCTAGAACTCATTTCACAGTTAATGCATATTTACCGGCTTCGGTCTCTGTTTTGTATAGAAAAGTAGATAAACCACATCTGTCAGAAGCTTTTTTGGGAGTTCATTAGACAGTGTAATAGTAGGTTCTCGGTCCTTACCTTGTGTGCAAGGAGCTGTAAATCGCCATAAATGGGCAGGTCCAGAGACTGCAAAGTGAAGGGGATTTAGAGATTATGCTTTAGAAAATAACAGTATTAAATCTTTAAATTCAGAATACAAGATAACGCCTCCTGCTGTTCCTTTTCACCCTAACTAGAAGTCAATTTTTTCTTGAGGTTCTCTGTGTTTTTGCTTTCTTGGTAAGTACATTCAATAATGTCTGAAATACATTTAATAATGTATAAATAGTCTATGGCATTACCCCAACAATACATTAGCTTTACAATGAATATTTCTAATACTCCTTGAGGTTTGGGGAAAGTATATGGAGGGATTTGTATCTTTAATGACTCTGGTCTTTATTTCTTTTCTCTTTTATAATCATCTTTAGCTCATAAACACATGCGTTTAATATGCTAATTGACCTACACAAGTTTTGTTTTATGAAAACCCTTGATTTTCTTAAATGAATTACGATTAAGTTATAATACTTAGAGTTGGAAAATAAAGCACAGCATAGAGCTCTAAGATGTATTTTCTTTAAAAAACTGGTCAACATCTAGTACCTTGTGGAATTTTTCCATTTCAGTAGGCTCCTGGCCCAGTCAGTACTGTCTGTCCTCTGGTAGAGAGGAGACTCTGGGCTACATGAGAATTTGTGTGTCTGCCTGACCTTCAAATGTTGCCAAGTACTGGAACAATTAAGTAGATGAGCCCAAACATGTCTTGAAAGATGTGCTAAGTATTTCCAAAATGCATTATAAAATGAATCACGTTATCAACCCTCCTTGCTAAATAGAGGACCCAGACATTTAGTGTCAGCGCCAATTTCCAGAAGTTACATACAGTTGCTGTTCTCTCCTCAAATACGAATTTGGAAAGGTGAACAAATTCAAGCTGGACAAAACACAAAAATAAGCATCACCCCAAAGGCTCTGTGTGACTGTTTTCTCATGTGTAAATAACAGTACTTATTTTCCACATTTAGAGGTGAAATAAATTGTTAAATTTTTCTATCATGGCATGACACATGGTAAACACTAAGTTTAGGCTACCATTACTATTCTTATTACTCAGCACATTAGAGCAGATCAGAGAATAAGTGGCATTTGAGCCATGGAGACATGTGCTTGGAGTTCCACAGTGCCCGCGGTATTGTCTTCTGTGGCAGTTGGGTAGCTGCTGTTCATTTCTCAGTGATGTCAGGGAAATTATATACCTTTGCAAGGACTGACACAAGGTATGATAAATAATGTGGCCATATTATGTACTCAAGAAATACAATTTTCCTTGTATTTTCTAAAAGACGTCACTGTTTTAAAGTTGTTTCGGGTAAAAACGCCAAAAAATCAACCTTGGGGAAAAAATTAAAACTTCAGAAGTATGTTTGCTAACCACATTAAGGCATTGCTAAATAACAGGTGTAGGTTTTCTTCGCTTCCCTTTTTCAGCTTCTAGGAAATTGATTTTTAGCTACTTGTGCAAATGTCTGGGGCATCCAGATATGTAAGGCCGGGAGAGAAAATAACAAAGTCAAGGGACTTTTTCCAGGGAGGAGAGAATTAATCCAATCTTGGAAGCAGTCCTCATGGTATCTGCCCCTTGTGAATCTTGAATGAGCGGAATCTTGCATGACAGATCCCAAGTGCCTAACTGGGCCTACACTCAAAACGGACAGGGGACCATGTACTGGTGTAACTTACTACCGTTTTCCTGGACAGATGAACCTGAGCTTTATACTTTGTTCTTACATCTTTACAAGTCCATAGTCTGCAACCAGTCACCCAACCACAACGCAACACACCTGTACCACTCATTTGTATAGTTAACCTGCATGGGAATGTGGACAGGTTTCTATTTAAAAAACAAAAAAACAAAAAACTTGTTTGCTCCCAAAAATGCACCTTCGGCTGGTACACACCCCGGTATGTAGCACGTTTTGTAGTTTCCTGGAATCCCAATGTCGGGTCCTCCTACATTTTCCTGTTGGGCCGCAAACTTCTTAGCACCATTGCTTGGGCGTCTTCTGGTTTTTGGCAAGCCTACGTACTACTATTTATTAAATGGTCTCCAGCAAACTCTTCTTTTCCTTAATGCCTGCAGTACTTCCGGAGAAAGCTTCCTTCTTTTTCTGTCACCACACATGTCAGACCGAAGTCTATACCGATAAAAGTTAAAAATTCTAAACTTTCGGGGAAAAACAGTCTTGTCCTTAACTAGCAAGAAACTAGAAAGGAGTACTATAGAAGAAGCGTAAAAGAAAAAAATGTTACAACTAAAATTTCAAATATGCCTCTTCCAAAGAAGGTGTTTACAGACTTTCCCAAGCCTTATTTCTTCTTACGGAAATAAAGGATTGAAAACTGGGCAATTCCGATTGGCTGCGTATAGCCAATTCTGATTGGTGCACTAAATTCTTTATGCAAATAATGTTCTGACTGGCTTTTTTTGGCTCCCTCTTCTTCCCTCCCTGGCAGTTACGGGGGTTTAGTCTAGGTCATTCCAACTGGAGACGTGCATCTGGTGAGCCAATTGGTAGACGCTTGGGCTGTATCTAGTCGGTTACAATGAGAATTCGTAATGCTTAAGATTTGAAAGGTCAAATTCCATAAACATCCACCTAGTATCGGGTAACCATATCACAAACAGAAAGCAAATGCAGATTGCTGGCAGTGATTAGCTCCAATTGTGAGCACAGTGAGTGGCTCTGAAAAGAGCCTTTGGGTTTACAGGGGCGCGGTTGGAGCACCTAATTTACTTGGAGCTGGTGTACTTGGTGACGGCCTTGGTGCCCTCGGACACGGCGTGCTTGGCCAGCTCCCCGGGCAGCAGCAGGCGCACGGCCGTCTGGATCTCCCGCGACGTGATGGTCGAGCGCTTGTTGTAGTGCGCCAGGCGCGACGCCTCGCCCGCGATGCGCTCGAAGATGTCGTTGACGAACGAGTTCATGATGCCCATGGCCTTGGACGAGATGCCCGTGTCGGGGTGCACCTGCTTCAGCACCTTGTACACGTACACCGAGTAGCTCTCCTTGCGGCTGCGCTTGCGCTTCTTGCCGTCCTTCTTCTGCGCCTTGGTCACCGCCTTCTTGGAGCCCTTCTTCGGGGCCGGCGCCGACTTCGCTGGCTCAGGCATCTTCGCTTCAGGTTTTTCCCGAGAAAGAGAAATGAAGCCAGCAGTACAGAGACCACCTTATTTATAGACAGCCTCATGCAAATTAAGGCTTAAGTTTCTGCTTTCTGATTCGCTAATGCTGTGTGGACTAACATGCAAATGACAGGCTGTAGATCTACTTTCCCATTGGTCATCTTCTGAGAGCACTTTTCCAGCAGAATTGGAACTGGGTAGCCAGCAGACAGTTCTGAGGACTGTTTCCCACTGTATATGGAGTTCCCAAATGTAAAGCATGAAGATAGGGCAAGGTATTAAACGGTAGAGAGGGACAGCAAAATACTATTGCTGTAGGGGATAAGACGGAGAAGAAAATCCTATCTAGGGCTCCAGTTCTTGGTACTGGAAAGGAGGGAATCACATTGCTTTCCAGAGAGCACTGATCACAAATAAGTAGTTATTTAATCTAAGTAATGAAAAGAATGGGAAAAAAAATCCCTAAAGAACCTAAAATGGAACCGTTCAGCATTTAACGACTTTATTATTATTCTTTGGCTGAAGTAGACCTCTTAATTCTTCCATTCCCATCTTTTAGCAGAGGAAGTGTCCTTCCTGAGTTTGTTCTTTTCTAAACCTGCTCTTGCCTCCAGTTCTGTTCTAGTCCCCAACCCAGCACTGGGCGTCTATGCAGGCAGTCCAGGGCCCCTGCAGCTGGCTAGCATCCAAAAGGTGCACACTCTTGCATTTGCCCTTGTTTCAGCGAAAAGAAAAGGTCGATATGTTTCCAAATATGTAAATTTCTTAGACAGACTTTTCCCTCATAAAAATTCTCTTTGAAACCAAGAATAGTGATTTATTTTTTTCTATTTTACTTAAGATGAAATTCCAAAATAATGACAGATACTAGCTTAAACGTATTGCAATACAGTCTGAGGTATATTTGCTCTAAGATTGTGGTCTCATCGAGGTTTTCTAGGTTTGCTTTTGACTTTCTTAGAGAAGTGTATGTCAGATCTGGAATATATACAATACTTTATCTTTTAATGATGTTGGTGGCATGGTGGTTGGGGCACAGGACTACCATAGGTCTGACTGCTGTTTGACTCCTGGACCTGACAGCTTGCTTTCTCACCATCCCACCAACCCCTTCTCCCAACTCCCCCCTGCCCTGCCCCTGCCCCAGCACACCTGCTCTATATCAAAAATAATGACAATGACAATAATAAATAAAGGCAAATAATTCTTTTCTTAAAGAATTATTTTATTTAACTTTATTTATTTATTCATTTAATTTGACCAAAGAGGGACTAAGTGATTGAGGGAGAGATAAAGTGAGAAAGCAAGCTGCCAGGTCCGGGACTTAAGGCAGGGTCGGCCATGTGGGAGTCAAGTGCCCTTAACCACCGTGTTACCTGCCAGCCCCATATAATTCTTTTTAAAAAAAAAAAAGTAAAATAATATATGTAATAAAATATCCTTTCGAGGGTTCTCCTCTTATTTGAAAACAACTTATACATGAATTTAAAACAGAATAAAAAGATTAAGATGAAGAGAAAATATGCCTAGGAAATGGAGATTGAGTGTGTGCAAGTATAATCAGATTAATATCAGATAAAATATACTTTGAAGCTAAAAGTACTAGCAGTGATGAATAGGACACTGGAAAGATATTCATGCTCACCTTTGAACACAGATATTCTGGAGAGCCGTCCTGAAGCAAGATATTTCAGGACTAGAGGAACCACTCGCCAGCACTTTGTGGCGTACGTGCCAAAGGAAAAGAAGTTCCTTGAAACCCCTCAGAAGAGAACCCAAGAGCTGCAATTATTTTCATCTAATCAGCGAGAAATGAGGACATCCGGACACCCACATTTATGGGATTTTATCGATTACACTGGCAGCCTATGGGGGCTTATGTCTTTCGAAAGCCTGCATCCCCAAGTGAAAGGAGAGGGCTTATACAGGCAGCGTTCACAACCAATTCCCCGGTGATGTGCTGATTGCAACGGAAACTGAGGGGGGCGTCGGGAGGAGAGGGAGTGGGGTTCTCATGGGAAAGCAGTTCCAGAAGCAGAATCAAGCAGGTTTTATCTCCAGACTGTTGTTTAATGGTCCCCATGGCTCTGGGTAGGGGTCTGGTGACTGGTGGTTACATTGTCAAGGAACCCCTACACAAAAGGGATTCGGGTACACAGCTTAGTAAGACTATTAATCACTCTGGGGAACAGAGGGGAGCAAGCCTAACAGAGATCAAAGATGGAGGCGCGCCTGCTTCAAAATTATGTGGATGAACACACCAGTCCTGACTTCCTGGGGCCAACGCCATTGTCAGGTTCTAAGAGCCGGGAACCAAGGCCTCTGCTAGGGGAAGCCAAGTCTGGGCTGGGACTCGGCACTCCAGACAAGGCATAGGGCCGGGTTCTGAGAAAGGGGAGGCTGGAGGCCGAAAGCTAGCAAACGTTTCAAGGAGAATATCTGTTTGCCCCACAGGGCTCTGAGTGGCAGTTGCAGAAATGTGCTCCAGGACTGAACCCTCCTCCGGGGTTTGGGAGGGGAACATCCTGAAATCAAAGTGACGCATGTCCACGGTGCCCCTGATGACCCACAAAGGCAAACATAAACCCGGGTGAAGCATCTTGAAACCTAGTTTTCTATACCTACACTGAATCTTCAGCAGCCCCAACTGGCAGAATTGGAATGATAATTTTATTATTTTAGCTTATTTGGAGAGGTTTTTCCTGTCGGGCATGTGCACTCGCCAGAAAGAGGCAGAAAACGAGAAATCACCCCTCAAGGGGGATGGCCACGCTGAAATCCCTTCTCCTCCATTCTCCTCTCAGGATCTTGGGCACACCAGCATGAGTTTAAGCCACAGTGTCTGGGACTTGAACTACAGTTGACTACATGGGAGTCCAGCGACATAGTCATTACGCTAACTGCTGGTCCCAGAAGAAGAGTTTTAAATGTACAATTGTAGGGTAACCTTTAAATATACTACTCTTAGAAACTCATACAACAAACAAAATGAAATGCTCATGGTTACTACAGAGGATTTGAACCACACAGTAGAAGTTAATCTACCACTCCTGCACTTAACTCATAAAGGACATGCCATTTTTTTCGAAGTGCACATTGAAAGATTTCAAAAATTCAGTGCTGGCTTCAGAAAAATTGCAATAGATACCAAAGAATCAATTTCGTACACTTTGCATTCTTATATCATAATCTAGTAGGATAGCAATAGGAAGCGTTTTTAATATAGTAATAGCCATAAAACACTCTCTTCATGTGCTTGAAAACTATAAGTCACATTCCTAAAAAACCATGGGTTAGATTCAAAATCATGAGGAAAACATGTATATTGAGATGTAAACGTGAAGAATAACACATAAGAAATGTATAGGTTATATCTCAAATGGTATTAAGGAAAATCTATCAAAGAATATATCAAAGCAAAAGAAACACTGAAGATATATAAATTAGATATTTAACAAAAGAAACTTTAAAAAGAACAAGAGACTAAATCAAAATGAATTAGAAAGGCATTTTAAAAGAACAATAATTAAATATAAAAATAGAGATGACTCATAAACCAAAAGCTTGTTCTTTGGGGGGAAAAAATGTGTGAGAGGAAGATTAAAGGAGTAAGGAAGGGTAAGTAACTACCAAAAGTGAGATTCTAAGAACCACAATAGAGGGCCCAGTCTCTTTCTGGCAAGCCCACGTGTCCTCTCACTGTGTCTTTCTGGCAAGGCCATGTGTCCTATGGCAAAAATTTAAAAAATAAAAGAATTACAAGAGAATGTGAAGGATAACTTTCCCCCCCAAAAGTAAACTTGGCAGAAAATAATTATTTTAAGAAGACAATAAGCAAATTGAATAAATTATTAAAGAAATAGGATGGCCAGAGTAAAAAAAAAAATTAACCTTTCCTATGGTCCTCAATACAAATGATATCAATCCCAGCTGAATTTTACAAGTTTCAGTAAATTAAAAAAAATTAATGATCCCTCTTTTACAGAACCTCATTTAAGAGGGAAAATACCTCATACTCATTTTCCTTTTTTAAAAGTATATTTCTGGGACCAGCAGTTAGCATAATGGCCATGTCGCTGGACTCCTATGTAGTCGACTCCAGTTCAAGTCCTGGCACACACGCACATGCGCCCGGCGTGAGTTTTAAGCCACCAGGTCCAGGACATGAACCACGGTCGACTACGTGGGAGTCCAGCCACATAGCCATTTCGCTAACTGCTGGTTCCCCACACGACTGTTTTGCACATGGGTAGTTCCTTGGCGAAATGCCAGCAGAACACTGGCATCCTTTATGACAGTACGAAGATCCTGAGGAGTCTAAATCCAGGAATGAAGTTCCCTGAAGGTACGTGAATAAAATTATGAAGTTCCACTGAAGGACACAAAACGAGATCGACTTAGTGGGATAGGGATATACCCTGTTAATGCTTTGTGGTGACTCAAAATGCTGAATGTTCATATATTCCAAAATTAGTTAGACAACGTGATGCCGAATAAACCTTTGTGGATATTTGGTAGAGCATTGTGAAAATTATGTTAATAATAAAAAATATATGGGACAACCCCCCCCCCCCACAAAAAAAAGCAAACAGCGACTGTGGTGGGCCTTGTCTTAGTACATGTGAAGGCCTATAATCCCACAGTATTCAACAGTGTGCCACTGGACCGGGTACAGACAGCAGGTGGACCGGGTACAGACAGCAGGTGAGCTATTTTCTGGGAGCCCCCTTGCTGACCATTTCTAACTGCCTGTAAATAATCCTTTGGGGGATTTTTTTTTTTTTTTTGAGAGGTTTTTGCGATAAGGCGCGTGCGCTCGCCAGACAGACAGAGAGACAGAGAGACAGAAAGTGAGAAATCACCCCCCAGGGGGGATGGCCATGCCGCAATCCCCTCTCCTCCATTCTTCTCTCGGGATCTTGGGCACGCACGCACACGCGCCGGGCGTGAGTTTTTTAAGCCACCAGGTCCGGGATGCAAACCACAGTCGACTACATGGGAGTCCAGCGACATAGACAT